GGCCCGGGTGTGGCCACAGGGCCCTTTATTTAAGAGAGAAGTTCCTTCTGCGAAGTTACTAAATTATATGTTTAAAAGCTAAAGAAAAAGAGAAGCTGCAGAGTATTTATAAAACTGTCTTTTTAAAAAACGAGCGAGAGCATTTGATCTTTTCGTGGAAAGGGAAAAGTACCGTAGACACTTTGCTAGTGCGGCAGAAGCGAGAAGTCCCTCTCGTGGAAACTTACGGCGCGTCTTCGTGGCTGTGGAGTTTAGTTTTTATATACAGAGTTATCAGACGTTATTTATAAAACTTAGTTTAAAAGAGACAAAAAAAGCTGCCGCCGGCCTCGGCGCCTGCCCGGACCGTACCCAAGTGACTTAGGCCCGCGCGGCCTGCTGTGCCTGTGGCCTCGTGGCGTCCTGTGCTGGTGCTTCTGGTGACCTTTGACCTGTGGTGTCACTGCTGGTGTCCGTCTTCCTGTGTCGTTTGCAGTTGGTCTGTTTGGCTTCTGCTGCCCGGCGGCCCCCAGCAGCGTGGGTCGGCCCGCCGGCCTCTGCTCTGTCGCCCGCCTGGCCCGCCGGTGGCGGGTGCGGGGCTGGGGCTGACCCCATGGCCTGGGGTGAACCCGGAGCCGTCCGGGGGGCCCCCAAGCTGCTTCCATCCCCGCCTCTCTGGCCCCGGGGGTGGCCTGCAGGGAAGGGGAGCCGTGGTGGGTGCCCCAGGCACCGCCAGACCGTCTTCCTTCTGGACTCCGCCAGCAGCTGGGGCCCTGGCCAAGTTCCGACTGTGTTCTGGTTGGCTTTGCGTGGCCTCTTTGGGGACCCGTGTTGGGGGCCACAAGGCCCACTGCCCATTTAACCCAGAATCGTTTCCATGCTTCAGGGTGGTGCTTCCTGGCAGAACTGGGCAGTCTGGTACCCACCTAGGGCGGCCCTCCCCCTGGCGTGGAGGGCCTGGGCAGGGTCCCCACCAGGGCTGGACAAGGGCTGTACTCCCCGGGGCCAGCTCCGTGCCCATGGCTCCCGAGTGTGCTGGCGGCTCTCAGCTTTGGGCTTCCCACCCTTTCTGGGGCCCACGTCTTCCCAAGGTGGCCGCTTGGCCCCTGGAGGTGCTCTCTGGCGCTCGCCCCCACCAGCCCCCGGGCCACTCTGCAGAGCCGCCGGGCTCCTGGACTGGCTCTCCAGGCCCCTGTGGGCATGCCCCGAGAGCTACCGTCCTGTCTGGCTACATGGAATCCCTGGCCCTGCCCCCCAGGCAGCAGCCTGGCGGGAGCCCAGCGCACACGGCAGAGCTTAGCCCACGCCACAGCCGAACCCAGCGGGTCTGCCTGCATGCTGCCGTGGGCACGTGCTGTCCAGCGCTGCCTCTGTGGGTCTTTCTCTGCCCTGGATGCTGTCCCCTCCCCACCCCCAGCTGTCCTTGGCCAGCCTGCTGTGGAGACTGGTGGAACATCCTGAATCTCAGCGGCTTTGCCCTGCCATGTGGCACTGTGTCCCCCTGGGGCCAGAGCAGGGTGGCGGGCTGCCCCACTGACCGCCCGCCTCTGCCGGCTCGGACCTGGGGCGCCGAGGGGGCGCCTGGGGTGAGCACTCAGTTTGCTTTACCGGAGAAGCTTTGAGTCTGCCCTCCCCCTTCCTGCCTGTGGGATTTGTGGCAGCTGGCCTCCTGTGTGGGGCGCGCCTGTCTCCCCTCGCAGGCCACCCTGGGGCCACCGCCCCGACTGCTCGGTTCCTTGACAGTAGGTCCTTGTCCCCGCGTGGCCGGTCGCGTCTTTCTGGTTCTCGTTGGTTTGGTTTCCTCTGTGGAGTGTCATGTTCTTATCCTCTTTCCTCCTCGACTTTCTGACAGGGCCGAGCCAGGGCTCTGGCCGCGCCACCGCCTGTGTGCTCAGTGGCCTGTGTGCACCTCCCCGCTTGCCCAGGACAGCGCCTTCCCCCAGCGCGACTCAGGTCGCCAGGACCCTGTGGGAACAGGCAGGCCAGCTCCGGCCTGGAGCGGGTGGGGGTGCGCCACTGGCCAGGCAGAAGACAGCTGCGGGGTGGGGGGGCACCGACCTCCTCCCTCTGCCCACCAGGCCCAGGGGCCCTCCCGCGGGGCTCTGCGCCTCTGGCGTCTCCTTGGCCAGTGCCCGAGGCACAGCTCCCGTTCACTGCAGCCTGCCTCGGGACAGCCAGGCAAGCCCCATCCTGTCCCTGCTGCCCCCCGCCCCCACTCGTGGCCCTCTGGCCGGCTGCTGGCCACAGCTGGGAAGCCCGCGCCACAGCCTGCAGTGCCGCTTCCGTTCTGGGTTCTTCTGAGTTACTTTTTTAGGCTGTGGTTTGGTGAAGGGAACCAACCCATTTAACGATTTCTTCCCCCAGAAGCCACTCAATAGTCTTTCTGGCTTGTCTTCGCCTTCCTGTCGGCGGTCTGGTTTGGGAGCGGTTGGGGGTGCTGCACCGAGGGCTGCGGCCTGGGGG